TTGTTAAAAAAAAAAACAAACCAAAAAAAAAAAAAACCCTGAAATTGATATTTTATCTCAGAAAATATATATCTGAAAAAAGTTTGTTCCTAAATTTCCGTCAACATATATCAATATGCATGAGCAAAAAGAGTCTTCATGAGCTTACTGAATATTAAGTTCCAAATATGACGCTATGACCTACAATCATAGCTTAGAAAAGACTTGAAATACTTTAAGGATATATATTTAATCCTACAGCAATTGTGTTAAATCTGGCAGGATTTAGCTCATTCTACACATAAAGAGGAGCAAAAGGTTTTGTGACACAGTCAAGAATACATAATTATTCAACCTTTTAACCTACATAATAGTTCTAAATCACTGAAATGATACAATCACATATAGCAGGAGTGTTCAAACTTTTCCTCAAAGGGCAGGAGAGTAAATATTTGAGGTTTGTGGGCCACATGTTCTCTGTCACAACTGCTCAACTCTACCATTATATAATGAAAGCAGTTATAGACAATAGATAATGAATGAACATGGCTGTGTTCCAATAAAAACTTTATTTATGAAATCAGGTGACCAGTCCCTAAGCTTTAGTTTGCTAATCCTTGACATAGAGATTCACTTTCAGGCTTAGATCTTTGATCTATAAGGAGATTATAACAATGGAAAAATAAGATGAAGTAAAATCATAAGCCCATTCAGCTTTGATAAAGGGATTTACCACTGATCTAAGAAAATATGACTTTGACACAGTAGTTACAGGTCCTTGTTCAATGTATGCCCTTCTATACAAAAACACATTTCCACTGGGAACCCCACGTGAGGATAGCTGTGTTGCTTAAAAAGAAAAACGAAGGTTTAAAAGTATTTATAAATGTTTATTTTCCTATTGTTATAGAAGCTGCGTTCTTACTATTTAAAAAAAAAAAACTTCTGTAAAGAATTGCAAAAGTTACATTTAAGATTACTTACCCATATCTTGCCAGACATGCTAAAAAGACCAGCCATTCCAGACATCCTAAAAAAAAAAAAAAAGAAAGAGAGAGAGAGAGAACTATTGGTGATGCTATGAAAAACTATGAAAAACAAAGACAAAAGCAAACCTCAGATCACAAGGATCTGCCTTTCTACATTTTAAAGTACACTGTCCTCTCTACTCCATGGTTATCATTACAGTCACTGCTGTAAATACATTCAAATCCCCTGGCCCTTTCTTCCTCTATTGTACATACCTGGCAAAATCCCGACCTTGGGCAGCTGCATGTCTCTGGGGAAAAATCAGATGACCAGCTGACTGTTCTCCCTTCACAAACCTCAGGGAGCACTCAACACTACATTTTTTAAAGCTCTGCAAGAGAGGATAGCTCATATCCTTTCCCTCTCTTCATACCCTTACACACCCTCCCTTCCCCATGCATTCTTAACTAACACTCCTCATATGTCACTACAAAATCAGAAGCCATTGTGTGATCTCTCTTATATCCCCAGCACCAAATCTGAGCTGAGGTACACCTGCATCTACCTTCTCCTGTTTTGATAGAGAAAGTCTACCTGCCTGACCACAGTTTAATTCCTCCACTTGTGGCTTGGATCCCATCCCTTTAGCTTGTGAATGACTGGGTTCTTTCTGCCATCCCCTCCTCCCGCATTAGCAGTTTCTCCCTTTCTGTCGGTTTATTTTCATCAGCATGAAAACATATTCTGCCCTCTTCTCATCTTTTAAAAAGAGTATCCTTGGACCTCACATGGCCCTCCAGGTTCAGACAAACTTCTCCAAAGAGCAGTCCACACTTGCTGTTTCTCCTTCCTTACAGTATATTTAACCCATCCAAACCTGCTTCTGTTCTCATTACTACACTAATACTACTTGTCAAAGCCAGTGACCTTGCATTGCTTCATTCAACATCCACATCTCAGACTTGATCTTTCACCCATGGTTAACTTGGGACAAAAGTGACTACTCCTCCTCCTTGAGCACCTTAATTTACTTGGCTTCTAGGAAATCACATATCCCCGCTTGTCCTTCTGCCTCACTAGCATTCATATTTACTTTCCTTTTGCTGACTCCTTCTCTACCTGACTTCTTAAGTTTAAAGTGTCTCGTGGCTCAGTTCTAAGCACTTTTCTTTTTCCCTCTTTCTAGGTGATCTCCTCCCTCTTAATCCTTTAAATACCATCTATATGTTTTGTATTTGTGTTCCTGAATTCTTCAGGGGAGACTCATCTCCATGCATTCAACTTGACAGCTCTACAAAGAAGTCTGCATCTCAAACTTCTTATGTTTAACACTGAACCCGTGGTTTGCTCAAATCAGTAACTGGTACCAACACCCACAAAATACTAAAACCAGAAACCCAAGAGATTTTTTGTGAATCTTCCCTTTCTTTCATCTTAGCCAGGTCTATCTTCGAAATATATTTTAAATCCACCCAATCTCTCCATCCTCATTGCTACCACCCTGATAAGCACTAGCACTAGGTTAGACACTACAACAGCCTTCTAACTGTCTGACCTCATCTATTCTTGCCCTCTCTGGTCTCTTCTAAGAACCACCTTGTCATGTGATGCACTGACAACACCCAAGTTCCTCATTGCGGTTAAAAGCCTGTGCGATCTGGCTCCTTCTTGCCTCTCTTCCTTGGCTTATATATCACTCTACCTACCTTTCATTGTCTTAACCTCGACCACCTTTCTTCTCCTCAGTATACCAAGACCTTTCCACAATGGAGCTTATATGCATGTTAGACTCATTCCCGGGAATATAGCTCCCCCTGTTCTTCACCTGGCTAGGCTGTCCTATCCTTCAGGGCTCACTTGTAGTCCCCTCCCCTCAGAGTAACCTCTCCTAGCCTCTCATCTAATGGAGGTCCATGCCCTCATGGTAATTCCATGTCTTAGTAAAGGTTTTCATTTGCTTGTTTGATTTTCAAACAGCCCTTATCCAGACTATGATTCTTCATATCTCTAGTTTTTTTCTTAACTGTGCCTGACTTTAAGTTACCTGAGGAGAATAGAGGGACCATATCTGTCTTGTTCACTTTTGACTATTTAGCACCTAGAACAGTATCTGGCATAAAGTCAGTACTCAAATATTTGTAGAATGAAAAGCTGCTTTTTGAGTAAGCTGCATGTTTCCTGGGTATTATATAAATGCTACTAGATGATTCTTTCCTGAAATATAACATAATTTGATCCTTTTTCAGCAGGGACATTCCTTACAATTATATATACTAACAAAATTAACTCCAAATATGACAATTCATTCAAAATTAAAACCAAATGTGGAAAAAGTTATTGTGGTTTGGCCTTATCTACCTCACCATTATGGAGTCTGCCATTATGGCCATGAGTTACCATAACAATATTCCGCTAGGTGGCCAAAGACACCATAGGTTTTATTTTCCATATAGATACAAAAGCAATTCCTTCATGTACTATATAATTCAAGAAAGAGTTAGTCTCCTATATTACCAATAATTTAAAAGAAAGAAAGAATGGTATATGGTATTCAAAACCATATTTTGTAAAGAGAAAACAGCTGTCATGACTTAGTGCAAAAACTAGGGGAGAGGCTTTCTGTAACCCACCTGAATCTGGATACTTAATTCCCAGTATACTAACAATCAGCTGAAACACATGTGGGTCATAAAACCAGAAACACAACATGGTCTAAGCATGATCATGTGTAATCTGGGTAATTAGAGTGAATATGAAGAAAAATGTAACTTTCAAGGTCCATGGACTGTTCACTTGATATCTCTTATTTTATAATAATACTTTCTTGTTTAAACAAACAAACAAACAAAACTTACGCTAGAGAAGCTGGGGATTTCCAGCCAGTCAGAGGCTCAACTAATTGCCATTTCTTCTCTAAGATATAATTCTGCAGGTCTTCGTAGATTCCTGGGCCACGGTAACGGCGGAATATCCCATCCTTAGCACTATAAATTATAAAAACAAATAGAAAATAAATTCGTTAAAATAATAAATGTTACAGATAATAAAAATCAAAATAATTATTGGTTTTACATGTGAACTCCACCCTGAATTTTAACTTGGCTCAAATGAACAAAAAAATGATAGTGAGGCATATATCAGAAAGCATGTATAAATATTAATCTTCTCAATTCCTTACTCCGTGTCTGAAGGTTGGTCAATTCCAAGTTCTATCCTTGACCTACTCCTCCTCCCACTGTATATGTTTTCTCTAGATATATTCCAACTGTTACCTACTTCAATGCTGAGGAATTCCTAATATGTATCTCCAGTCTAGATCTTTCTTCTGAGCTTTAGATCCTGAAATCAAACTATCACCTAAACTTTTCTATTTGGAATTAGCATAGTCACTTAATACTATCTTCTCCATTTGGGCCTCTATTTTCTAAACTTCATTTTATTCTAATGGCTCCTAATAGCTTTTACTTGTTATACATAGCATATTGGTAGTCATCTTAGGCTCTCCATTCCTTACGGCTAATCAGTCACCAAGTCCCAATGATCCCACCTCCTAAGTATTTTAAGAACCTATTCAGACCTTTCTTTTTCCCCTCTCACTACCTGAGCCTCTCTAGCCTCATCACCCAGGATGATTCAACTGTACCTTTCAGGTCAGCCGTACAGAACTAGTTACAGTTCTTGGAAGGTGAAAAGGCCTTTTCCACCTTGTCTACTTAACCAATTCCTACTTTTCTATTAAGAATCATCCCTCCTTTTATGTTATCCAAAAAAAAGGTATGGAAAACAACTGAGAATTCCTCGTACATATCTACTGATTTCTAATATTTGCAAGAGCAGAAAACTATTTAAACTTACTGAAAAAATGCTGGGAGAGTGGTAACAAAGAAGCGGCCACTCAAACCTATAAGAAGATAAACAAAAAAAGTTATGAGTCAAACTCAGACGAACTCAAGTGTCTAAATTAAGTTGTAAGAACAAGAATGCTTGGGGCTTGCTTTTATAACCACAAATTAAATCATGGATATTGTTTATTTTTTTGACTTAAAGAAATTTTATTTTTACCCATTTTTATTTACCTAGCACTCTCTGGACACTGACATACAATTTGCTTATCTTTGATGTGTTACACTTGAGTTTTCTGTCTTGTGCATGACTTGGAATTGTATGGTGGCTAAAAGGATAGGCATGTGACCTAGATTAAACACTAAATTCTCCATTTACTAGCTTTATGACCTTATATAAATTACTTAACCTTTCTCAGTCTCAGTTACCTCATCTATAAAATGGGTATATTAAAGCCTAATTGAATTGTTCTGAAGTTAGATTAGATCAGTATGTTAAGTGCTTAGCACATAGTAAAGTATTCAATAAATAATAGGTATATCAGTTACATGTTTAAAAAGAATTATGAAATAATAAGATCATATATAATCTTTGCACATTTATAACATTTGCAAGTACTTTGTATATTAAACAGATTTTTTCAATTTGTCTTAGCAAATCATCACTGAATACTAACCACATATCAAACGTTATGCTTGGTACACTAAAGACAAAAACAAATAAAAACCCTTAGTTACTCAGCAAATTTTTACTAAGCTCCTTCTCTGTTCCAGGGACTATGACAAGATGCACAGATAAGCAAAAACATGTACAGTCTTTGTTCTCAAAGAGCTTAGTCTAGTAGCAGACAGAAAGAACTTAATACTCTCAATCATGACTATAAACAGAGATAGATATCAAGAAAGGGGCATGTAACAAAAACCTGAATGAGATAAAGAGTAAAAACCAGATGCTTGCTCTCTAAATGTTTACAAATAAATAATACTCATGCGAGCACCAAGAGTGAGCAGGCCTAGTTCTGGTGAAGAGAAGGAAAGTTAAAGATCTTCCTGGCCAGCATGGAAAAATGACAGAGACATCATTTGTACATTCTTACCATGTCTGCCTTTCCCACTGAAGAACAATCTGGACAAAATAAAATATGTAATCAAATAAAGTAGCTCAAATTTTACATCTCTGTGGTCACATGCAGTTTGAAATTCAGCATAATAATTATTAATGATGAGTCTTCCCAAAGAAAGATTCTCTATTTTTTTCTCATATCAAACCAAGTAGACTCTAAAATAGCCCTATGGCACTTAAAAGAAAACACGGTACTCTGAAGGCAGTAAAAGTGAATGTTATAAAAAGAAACATCTACAATATACATTTATCATTGTACATTAAACAAAAGTACAACAAAAAAACCCACATGTGACCTGAGAAGCTACCTGGGGATTGTTAACAATCACATCTGTCTACAGGACAGTCTTATCTCTAACATGCTTGGAATTCCACCCTAGCAGGGAACAAGGGTATCTTTTCGTATAATTCCGACTCTAGATTGCTAAGGTGGAAAGTACTGCTAATCCTCAGGGCTTGAAAAGTGTTATATGGTTTTGCTTAAAATAATTATTATAAACAATTTCATATCTCACTTCTTTTCTAGCTACATATTCTTATGACCACCCAAAAACTTTATCTAAGGAAAATGACAATGTTATGGAATCATGCTCTATTTATATGGTCTTTTAAAATGGAATGAACAAACAGCATCCCCTCACTTCTTCAAGTTTCTATTTGGGTTTTATTTTTATCAGAGTACGTTGATAGGATTTCTAATAAAACCACTGAAGACAATATTTTTAATTTGTTCTTTAAAATTTTTCATACATTCTTCGTCATCATTGTCCATGGCAATAAATTAAAAAATAAATAATAAATATAAAAAATACTTCATAAAATACATTAAATTATATAAATATGCAAAACAATATTTCCAGATTCAAGACCAGCTTGACTGGGGTCAAACCCCACTTCTGCCTCTTACTAGCTTTTATCTGGGACATTAAATTTAAATTCTCTGGGCTTCAGTTTCCTTATTATAAATGGGCATCATAATTTCTATTTCAATTTTAGTATTAATTTTATATTTACAAAGCACACAGAAAACATTATCTGACATATAATAAATACTAAATAAATGCTAGCTTATTTTCTACATTTAAAACAATGATTCAAAGGTAGAAAAAAATGAGAGGATGTAACATATTTAGTGTTAAACACCTTGGAAATTGTACATTATTTTAGATAACATATTTTTACTAATAAATGTATCCAGAGATAATAAGAAAAAGAAGCACAGTGACAGATGGTCTCTGAGATTATTCTGCAGTTTTCTGGTTCAGGCTATAAGGTATAACAGGATGCTTGTTCCCAAAATTGCCAGGTTAAAGGGTATACGAATTTTATGGTTCTTGATATGAATTGCTATGCTGTTTTCTGTAACGACTGCACCAATATACAAGAGAACATAAAGTAAGGTTCATATAAAATAATGACCATTATTAATAAATTGTTATGCCTCAAGATTGCTTTCATTTATGTCTGTCAATATTTCTTCAAATAACACCCATGTGGAATATTAATAGTAAGGTTATAGTATCTAACTCAGATTTAAGTTCAGTTTGTTGTCTGGAATATACACTGTCACTGAGGACATATTCAGTAAAATCAACAAGATTAAGAGCAACCAAAACAGTCCTTAGATTATGACCACTTCTAAGCCCTTGAAGATCCGACACTATAGAAAATTCACCTCAAATAAATGTCACTTCTGAGATGTCAAAAGATGTCAGAAATCTCTGGGTCTCATGTCAGTGCTCCAAAAATGTCATCTAACCTTTAACATTGATACTATGAGGTGTCAGGGGAGATACTAATTACCTGAAAATTTAAAACATGATCAACTTGGAACAGAGAAGCATCATCTTAGGTTGCAGCTTCAGGGTTGAAAAGCAAGTGTGGATCTTAATGAAGCATTTTAATAAGGCAGGAGCTCATTTGAAGGTTTGTATAATGGTTCACTGCAACAAACTTCAAAAAGTGTGGAAGAAACAAGTACACTCTTAAACCTTTAAGTAAGAGAGATAAAGTTTAACTACAGGTCTCCTGCAATTTCTATATGCCTTTTTTACTTTAAGGGTAACTTCCACTTTATTATTATTATTATTTA